ACCGTGTGTGTGCTGCCTGAACTAGCAATAAGGGCTTGATGCAGGAATCAGAAAATGAAGTTATGTGGCTCATTGCAAAGGTCAAAGTGGGTTATTAATGGCATTGAAATCTCTTAATGCTTTTATGTCACTACAAAAAGCTAGTATGCTTTTTTCTCATAAGTGGGAAAGATTTGTGTGTGGGCTTAAACTAAAAAATATGGGATGCATATGTTCAGAATCAGAACCAAAGCTTTGATTACTGAGCCTACAAATCTGTTTATCTTCCCTGGAGATGTAAGAGATCATTTAGAGTTGGTCTGACTGTGGGAAAAATGTTTGCTTTATAAATGCTGACAAAAGCTTGACAAACCATTTTTTAAGCACCTGGGAATAGAAGAGAGGCGAAACTAAAGGAAAAAAATGGCCATTATGTTCAGTGAATAAAATAGAGCTTGAAATGACTGTTTGGGTGGAATATTGAGTTGTTGATCTGAAAAGCCAGTTTAATTGAAGACATGTAAGACTGAGATAGATACCTGAAGGAGTAACATGGGCATATGTATTTCACAGAGGATTAAAAGGGGTCGGGAAATGGATCGTTTTGACCTCTGTCGGTATTGCGTGTGTCTGAGTGCCATCAGCATGGCTCGTGCTAGCGTACAGACAAGAGCACACACAGCTCTTAGCGAAACAAACAGCCCTTGCATTGCAGAACGGCGCTCTCAGGCTGGGAGGGCTTTAAATGACTTCTGAAAGGTAGCAGAAGCCTTTACAAATTTTCTTAGAGAGAACTGTTTTATTTTAGCTGTAAAAATCTTGGTATAAGGTCCAGCATTATTGTTTATAAGTGATTCTGGAGGGAGGAGAAACATAAAAGCTATTCGATCCATCTATGAGTAAAATAGATACTTTTGATATTGAGTTTCTCCTACTGGTACCTAGCATGAGTCAAGCTGTTCCTTTTTTTCGTTTCCTGCAATAGCTGCTGCTGTCAACTCTAGCCCATCGGCCAAGCTGTGCTCCTGTGACACTCTGTGCTTTGTTTTTTGCTTATACTGCAGTTACCTTGTGCTATTACTGTGTTAAAACAGCTCATTCCCGTATAGAAAAGTGACAAGATCGGAGCTGCTGCCCCGCGAGGACACCCCCATGAGCCAGGAGCTCCCAGCAAGGCCTGGAGTGGATGATCTGTGGCTCTGTCCCACTTCCAGCCCTGTATACGAGGCTTCATTGACAAGCACAATTCCTCACATCAGGGCATCCAGCTGGTCCTCCATGTGTTTCATTAGCCAAAAAGTGCAAGACCTACAAATATGCTCAAAGCTCTGTATTTGGTGGCTGATATAAGTAAAAAAATCTAAAAAGACCTGGGATAGTTAGAAGATGGAGGAATGATGTGACTTCTTTGAAACAAGTGGCAACTTTAGAGAGAAAAAAAAAAAAAGACTAAACATTTTAATGAGAAAGCAAGCTTTCAATGAGCCTATAAAGAATTTTATTTCTGGAGGTTTTGATTCCATTTTAGTGAGCATTTTAAAATTTGAAATTAAACTTGAGGCAGTGGAAGTATAAATGCAATTAAAAATGTTTCACAAAAGAGGTATTATGAAATCACCATTTTTTAAATTTAGAAATAATACTGGCAAATTATTGACAAGTTCTGCTCTGAAGAAACTGATGAATAGCTTTCCCTCTTTATTAAAAAGGTATAATTACAGCAAACATTGTTTAACACCAAAATGTCAGCATTTGTCAATAGTTCCATAATTACAATTTTACTTGCTGTTTGAAAGTGAGGCCCTATTACATGCATAAATGGTTGGTGACTCTTTGATGATTTCCTACTGTTCTCCAAATGATCATATCTCCATTGGAGAAGCTTGGCACAAAATAGCACATAAATCTGAGTGCAGTTTTCAAAGTTAAGACTCTAGAGTCTTACCAGGAGCAGCTGACTATGTGTCTGGTTTTTGCTTTTGTATGACATTTACAATTGCATAAAGTGGAGAACGACTACAAAGAGATTTTGCCTTTCATTTAAGCATAGAGACAAACTCAAGTTGTTGGAGTAACTGAGCTTTTGTTCAGGAAACAGGGGAACTATAGGCAATAAACTCAGCCTGCAAAAGGGCTGAGCAGACCATAGAGGGGATGATGTACCTGAATTGTCTTTTGGGAGGGGTCTGCCTGTGCCCAAAAAACAAATAACCTTGATGCATTTTATGCAGCATAAAGTAACAAAAAAGATAATTAAGAGCTATTGTCCATCCAGTCAAAATGTGTGGTATTGAATGCTTAGGGTACAGGCTTGTGAGGCTTTCACTGTGCAGCTACAAAGTAAATTGTCCAGCAAAATGTCTCCAAAGTCATGATAGTTAAAATGTTTTATGTACTAAAGCTTGCAGTTTATAGCCTTTTTCCACTTCTTCTCATTATGCTGCCTCATACTTACTGCTGGAGTTCTGATATGACCAAAAGGAAAACACTTCAGGATGGACTTTCTTCTTGAAGATGTAACTGTAGTTTCACACAAACTTGTGCATCCTTTCAGTTGAGCACTTCTGACCTGAATTTTAGTCCTACACAGCTTTTCTTTTTCCGAAGATGCAGTGACAAAGGGTCCATCTAAAGATGAATGAAACATCTGTTTGCAACTGTCCATGTTATTAAAGACCAAGTCTTCACATCTTTCCTCATCAATTGGAAGAAAGAATATCTGGGCTACAGCCAAAGTGGCAGTTGAAAAGAAGCCCAAAAATAATAAGAAAAAGAAAATAAGTTTATGAAGAATGATTTTTTAGCTGTCTCGGTGCACTAACACCACTTTAGCTTTAGCTCTGTCCCTTGCACTACTTTTTGTCTGCAAAAATGCTCAGCAAACAATTCAGGAAAGGCAATTGGCATAGTCCCTAATGAGACAAGATAAAGTGTCCTGTTGTGATGATGACAGCAAATTTACTAAGAGAACTGCAGTTTGACAACTTTGTGAATTGATCCTTGATTCCTTGATTGCCTACTTAATTGTGTGTTACCATCTCACTTCTGACCCTCCATATCCCACTGGCTTTTATCAGCACTTCAGCAGCTTAGGGACTCCCTGTAGCCCCTCAGATCATGAATACTGGAAGAACAGATTCTGGTTTGGGGATTTTGTTTTATTTGTGTTTAATTTGTACGCTTGGCCTGCTGTCAGAGTGGGAATTCACAGATGATTGAGACTCTGCAGTTCACTTTGTCAGGTTAATGAGTCTCAGGAAGAGGATTTCTTAATTTTGCTTATTAGAGGAGGGGGATACTAATTAAAGCACTATCTCAGCAGGTACTGAGTACCTTCAGCAGATTTTTAACTCTGGGAAACTAGGCATGTTTAGCACTAAGAAATGTTCTGTCTGCAGCAGATATCCAGTCAGATAAGGAATATATGAGAAGCATATTTCAGCAAGTGGTTCTAGTGGTGGATTTGGCAGGACTTGTGCAGCATGGATTGCACAGGAGAGGCTGGATGTTTCTCCTGAAGAGATGGTCACCCATGGCCAGGCTGCAAATTACCTTGAGATCTTTCCAGAGGAAAAGCACTAAGATCCTTGCAGTTGCATCTACAACTTCAACTCAACAAATATTGAATATTGCGCAATATCCAATTTAAATCTACTGCTGTGATCCCTAAAGGATCAAGGGGGTTTGGAAAGATATTTGCAGTGGCTAACAAATGGGATATTCGCAAGTTCTCCTGAGTACCTTCTGTTGCTATATAATGATGTGTGAATGTACAAATAGTGGTGAAGTATGCTCTTAAAATTAAAGGATAAGAAAAAGATAGATTTGACTTGAGGCAGCCAAAGTTGATGCCAAAATATATTCCAGTGAGTTGATTCTGTTGGTAGTACTCTGAAGCTTACTCAGTGCAAGACATAGGCTGATTTGTTTACTTACATTTCCATGTCTATTGTGTCTTCCTAATAATTCCATTTCATAGGAAGAAAAAAGCAAGCTTTAATTCGCTAACTCAGTCAGTGATTTTTACTGTATTTGCTGATAATTAGTTGAAAATAATAAACAAGCTGTTATGGATATGAAACACAGCAGTGTAATTAGGTAAGTGGTGAGATGGAAAAAAAATCAATTATCCTACAAGGGGATTTAAGATCACTGTTGTTCAAGATCCAGGATTATACATGTGACTGATACCACATGACTGTCGTTCTGAAGGTTTTTGTTTTTGTTTTTTTTCTTTTTGCACCATTTAAAGTCAGAGTTATGGTATTTTGCCTAGCAACATGACTCAAAACCAAGAAAAGCTATTGACCTGTGGAGTTTTTTTTCTCCAATTCTTGTTCTTGGTAACATACTGTGCTTATTTTATTAACCACTTGGGATTTTCATAAGCATTATCCTTCCATGCAAGAATATTGATAAGCAGAGGGGAAGAGTTGAGTGTATAAATAGGTCTAAAGAGTAAATGTGTCATCGAGGATGGAGATGACTTGTGAGCTTGAGCTTTTCTTTATTAGGGGCAACATTTATTTTGGGGTAACAGACAATGATAAGGGATTATAACTTCCTGTTCAACACTATCCTTCAGAGAAAGGGAGAATTGGCAAATGCCTTCTGTGGAGGGAAGACCTAAGGGCATGCACAGGTAGTAAATAAGGCATACATGTGTTTATATATGGATATGTCTTTGAAATATCATTCTGTATGTGTATATATGGAGCATTTCTCTATTTGAATGGTGGCATGTTTTAAAGTTCATATCTATTTGCTTAATTCTTTACATATTTTAATCCAAAATAAGGTCAATACCTAGGTCTGTAAAGCCAGCGTATACTCAAGGTCAATAGTTAAACACAAGCCTAATTCTGAGCATGTATTCTTACTGTAGTAAGCTTTTTAATGTAAACCAAAACCTTATGCTATGACAGTGGAAAAAAGCAAGTACTGTTATGTATGTCTGCCTATTCTCTCCCCATATGTGAAAGCAATATGTCTTTCTGAGAGTGTCTGTCTTTCTTTTTAAGCTATCTACGAACAGTCATGTGAAGCTTATCGACACCAAGGGAAGACATCAGGGTTTTTCAACATTGATTCAGACGGAAGTGGACCGCTTGGACCACTCCATGTTTTTTGCAACATAACAGGTAATGGTCTAACAGTATATGGTGATTCTAATGTTATCAATGCGTCTTGTCATTATACTACTAAGAGAACCTCAGAATCATGGACCTTTCAGTAGCAGAAAAAGGCAGAGTACTGGTAGCAAGTGAAGTGAGCATTCAGCTCTGAGGCAGTATCTTAAATAGGAAGCAAATCAAAGAAATTCACCTTTTCCTGCTGCTAAAAGCATAATGGTATTTATGTCATGTAAAGGAGAGTGCTAATGTATTTTTCACAAAACCCTAATTTTTGAGAGATATCAGTATTTTTTCCTAAATGTATAGAAACTGTATGCAAGAGTATATTGTTACCTTTTCTACATTGCTAATTCTGGTTGATTTGCCACACATTCCCTCTGATTCAATCCTGAAAACAAAGAACTCAAGATATTTATATTTTTTCTTAATCTCCTTGTACTTAAAGTGTCTCAAATTAAGTTTTCATTTTGACTTAATTGGGCAATCATTATGTTAATTAAATGCACAGCAGTTAATTATTAAATATGTTTTTTATTCAAGTGTAACAAATATTTAATAAGATATGTCATCTTTACTGTTGTTCAGTCACATAAGAATGGAAATAGAGTTTCACCTTTCTGTCTGAATATCCTTCCTTGATCTCCACTAAGGGGAATGTGCTCATTTTTATTATTTATCATATAAATATGTGTGATCAAAACATTGTCACTGCTTTTTATCTTTACTGAAGAAGTAGGATTTTGACAAGATGCAGAAAGCATCTGCTTTCCTCATATAAGTTTTATTTGGCAAAAATCCAAAAGGCATATGCCTGATTCTCATTCTAACTGTAATGAGTTTGTTGTTGACATATTTATTTTATTTTGGTTATTTTGGAAAAGTGATGATGAGGAATAACTGACAGGACCTCCTACCCTAGAAAACTTCTTTTTGTAGATGTCTTATTTGAGGTGGAGAAAGTCATTTGTCATATCATCCCTATTATTCATGTTGTATGAAGGAGGATTAAGATACAAAGAGAAATTACTATTTTATAGTTATTCAAGGAGCTTGAGGTGCAGTTGCTTATACCTGTGTATCATCTAAATTTGGTTTGGGGTATCTTAATCACAAGAGTTTTTTCTCTCTGTAAATGTATCTCACCACTATGCTTACAATATATGAACAATTACAGTAGCAGATGAAATTACCAAATATTGGGAAAAAATAATTTTTAACTTTACGTATATGAGGATGGCTTCTGAACTTTTTTTTGAGATGAGAGTTCTTCATAGTTTTCTGAAAGTACCAGTGCTCAAGGGAAGTAAAAAAGAAAATTATATCTTGTTATATTAGAGAAGGAAGAAAGAGAGAGAGAAAAAAGGTAAACTTATTGTGCAATACATAAATCCATAGCATAGGATAAAAGCAGAAAAGCCTGTAGGAAGGTAGCAGCACTGATCGGGAGTGCAGATAGATGCTATGCATGAACAGACTAAACAGATTAAAGAGGTGGCTGAAGGGGACTGTGGCAGAAACGCATGGAAATCCTAAGTGGCATAGAGAAAACAAATAGGGATTGACTCTTTTTCACAATATACGAGCTAAGGGACAACTGAATTATCGAGCAGCGGAATTTGGTTGTTTGTTTTATTCTTCTTGATGTAGTGCATAATTCAACTTCGAACTTGTTGGCTCAGGCCATTATGAGGGCCATTGTATCAACAGAGTGACAAAAAATGACTAGAAAAGCAAACAAACAAAAACCTTTTTCTGGTAGTTTCAGAAAGCACTTTTAAACACAGAGGCTTGGATGCCACGCACAGTTTAGGTAATGAGCTAGAAAATGTCTCCAGGAAAGCTCCAAGGTAATATTTTGACCTCCTTTGCTTTCCTATGTACCTGCTCTTACTCCAAGGCAGTGACTGGCCTCTGAGCTACATGAAACTTTGGTTGTGCTTGGGATGGCAGTGCTCTCTCTCTCTCTTTTTTTTTTTTTTTTTAATGCAGTTCGGGAAGAGGTAACCTTTTTATGCCTAAAACACTTAATCCGCCCTTGCCACTGAGAAGGCTGGTAATGATCAATATCAGAAAATGGCTAATGGACCATCTGAAACCCTAGTCAGCTAGTCCTTATATTCTTGGGAGGCTTGTTTCTTTCTTTTTTTTCCCTTTTTTTTTTTTTTTTTTTTCCTTTCTTCCTTGGAAGTCTATTGATCTGTCCTGAGTACTACTTAGACACTAATAATGATATTCTCTTGCACAGGGTCTGTACTCAGTCTACATCCATGCACTTGATTTGCTTCCCTGCAATGGAGAATGTTTATAATCACCTCTCCTCACCTCCCTGGCATAAATTTTGGCCCTGCTATCTCAAAAACTTTCTTAAAATATACTAAGTCATTCTGTTGCCTAACTGCGTCTTTACTGATGCATTTTTAATGTACAGCCGTCAAATCAATAATGCTTAGAAGTTGCTATGACAAGATCAATGCTTAGTTTTGTCTTGGCCAGGTATTTATCTATTCCTCCAAATGTATTTGTTTTGTTTTCACTTCCACAGGTGCAGATCAGGAAAAAATGAGTCCTTATCTCAGGTCTTGCTACTGGTCCAAAATCTATTTTTGCAACTGCCATAATAAAAAGAAAAATAATAATAATGAAACAAAACATATTTTTCCTTGTTGTAGATCATCTCTGTTTTTGCAGTCTCCTGTCAAAATGCAAATATTGTCTTATTTTTCTGGTGAAAGAAAAGTAACTTTTATTTTCTCTGTCTCCAAATAGTGTACAGAAACTGCTTAAATCACAGATATAATAGGGGGTTCTAACAGGAGCAGAAGGAGATTGTCAACCAAAGTGATATTTGCAGTTTCTTTATCAAATTGCCTTTAGCCTTTTTTCTTCATTCAGCTAACAATGATCAAGGCTTTTATTGCTCCATAGAGTACATATTTAATAGCATGTTAACAATCAGGGCTCAATTCAGGAGGATGCAAGCTATATGCATAGCTTAAGTGTCTAAATACATTAAGTGCCTGAATAGCCCTACTTATAGGAAGATTTTTGGCCAGCTGTTTGAGGGAAATATTGTAGCAACTCAGCTTGACATGGCTGAAAATAGCAAGGGATGGTCTGATACATAGCAGAGCCGGCCAGGTTTCAATCCCCATCTACAGCAGGGATCCCTATTGATGCTCACTACATAATCATCAAACTTGTGGTGGTACTCTGCCTGGCATCCATTTTAAAACCTTTTTTAAAAAGCTTATTTTTTTTCTTTTCCAGAAAGCTCAATTCATCTTTTTATATCACTTTCGAATCTATTTTTCCATAAGAAATACTAATCTCTTTTTATTTTTTGTGGCAGTTACAGTAACCTAGAAGTCACCTTGAGATTTAACCACTGTCACATTTTCTGTGGACATGTCTGACCCTCACAGGGAGGGGATGTTTTGCATTTGTTAGGCTAAAACAGTAGCAGACAGGCCAAGCAGGAGGTCACATCCTGCACTCCTGAATTTTATTGCCTCTGTCTCCATCCCTGCAGGACCAGAACCTACGAGGTGAAACTCCTTTGGGTTCTCAGAGCGAACCAGATTAGATTTTGTGACTTTGAACTACTTCGGGAAAGTTTTGGAGTGCCTTATTTTTTATGAATGTACTTTTCAGCTGGCTGTCTAGTTTTGATTGACTTCATCGCTGGAGAAAAACAATGAATGGGAATCCTTTGGTAATTATTTAGTACTGCTTAGATTAAAAGCATGCCATAAATATTTGCAATTTATCCCTTCAAACACTGTAGCTCTCCTGGCATGCTCTAGTTCTGACAATTTGTGTGTTTTGTTTTGAATTTTCATTAAATATTTCAGAACTTTATAAAATGGAAAGCACCACTTAATGTTTGTATTATGTCAAAGGCACTGAGCTATCAGCAGCTGCAGTGCTGCTTTCAGAAAGCTTGGTCTGGTGAAATCCTGTGCTTCTGAGGAGCATTGCGAGAGTGTCAGAAAAGTGTAACAGATATTTTCTTCTACCCTTTACCTCTGATCAAGGGTTACTGCTGCTACTGCCACAATTGTGGCGCTCAGCAGTGAGTGCAAAGCTGCGGCTCTCAAAATCACTTCAGCTGCCTCAGTTACCAGGGTGGGATGCAGTTGCCTTAGCACCAGTGAACACACCTGCCTCTGTGTCAGAAACCTTCAGCCATCCTGCCTGGTCTCCTGCCACCTCCAGTAGGACAGTAAGGTCCTGTGGGCTCCATTTCTTCTCTACTAATCTCATATAGGGGTATGAGCTGCTGGAAGGCATTGTAAAGGGCAGAAGATACAGGCATTGAGGCTACCCCATCTCACCTTAGAGAAAGAAGCCTGCATGTAAGAGAAATGAACTACTGAGACCAGCATGCGGAGTGATTGCAAAGGAGAAGTACCTGTTTTGCACTAGGAAATAGTTCAGTGGCAGCTCCTCCACTTTTTGGAGAGGAGTAATTTCGCCCACTTGTAGATATCCTGCATCACAGGACATGCAAGAATGGATGATACCAAGCAGGAGACTGGCAAGTGTGATGATTTGCCACTCCTGGTCTTCAGCACAGTGTTCAAGGATGTTGGTCACAATAAAGACCTTGGAGCAACCAGAGGACATATTGCTGATGAGGATGCCCTAACCCTGGAGCTGATGGTGAGGAACCTTCATGTCTGGAACATGGAGGGAAGCCAGGAGCATGGTTCTTTCCTCCATCCCAGGTCCCTGTCAGTATTGCCTGCGTTATGGTAGGGCCAGTGTCTTCATGTGACACTTGTGCTTGATTGTACTGTCTGCACAATCCCGGGAAACAATTCCCTGAAGGCATGAGCGTGTTGTGGGGGGCGCACACAGGGCTCAGCGGGGGACAGGAGCCCACGCAGCAGTGTTTCCATGGAAATGCACCGCAGCGTGGAGACGCTCGCTGGAAGTATTGACAGATGAATCAGAAACTGGGAGGAGGCCGATGAGCACAAAGAAAGCTGCAAAAGCACCACAGTGTTGGGTCAGCCAGCAGAGAAGCAAATGAGAGGTAGGAAAAAAAAAAATGGGTAGGTAGATACAGGTGCAGAAAACACCTACTTGGCATTAGTGAATTAAAGCTGCTTGCTTCTAAGAAGTTGTTTTTTCATCCACTTTGAGGACTATATGAGCAGCTAGGTTGAACAGCCACTGCAGCTTAGTACGATACTAAAGGACTGGAGCTTCTCTTTTGTGTCCTTCTGCTCCTGTAGCTACAGGTACAGCTTTCAGGACGATGTTTGGCATTCAGTGTAGAGCACCATGCAACAAATGCATCGTATGAGCTCTCAGAGCAATTTTTCTCTCTCTCATGTAGTGTTTACCGTATGTTTGGCTTGTTGGCAATTTAATCAGTCTGAATAATCTTGTTTTGTGACAAACCTCCTAAATCACGAAGGAGTGATGCAGTTTGCATGGCTGAAATGTGCACCACAGAGATATTTCAAGTTGAAGAATAAAAATGAGAATTAGACAATACAGAACTCATTGAAAGCCAGTTTTCCAGCTGCTCTCATTTCCCACAATTTAATTTGTGTGCTGTCAAAAGCAACTTGGAGACTTCCAGCAAGATGATACAACTATGGGTGAGGCTAAACAGAGTCTGAAATGTGCTGAATGCATTGCAGTCGCATGCTGTAAAAACATCTCCTAGGACCAAATACAGGCAGCATAATATCCTAGTAAATTGGGCCATTAAATAAAACTGCAAAGTCATAAAGCTGTAGCATTGCCCTGAAATTAAAGCATTGTCACCTTTGAATTATGAAACCATTTAACAAGCGTTTAGGAAATCTGCTTCTCAAGGCTGCGTTTAAAGTGTTCTAGGTTATACAGTAGAAGTTGTAGCTACCCTCTCCCACTGGGTTTTGACTTTCAGCCTGTGTGTGGTTTGAAATTTTACCAAGCTGATAAAATAATAAAATAATAAGGTGGAATAATAGAAGGTAAAAATAAACAGTGACCTTTGTCTAGAGAACAGCTTTTTCATTCTCATTGTAAATTCACAAGTGCAAAGAGAGCTCATTAAGTTGAGTAAACAGGGGAAAAAACATATAACATGGACAAACATAAAAGGATAATGATAACCTTTTTGTTGAAATAAAGGAAATAGAGCCTTATCTACCCAGTTTAGGAGCTTCCAGGCATCAGAATGACTAGGAGCTACTGACACTCAATTTGTTTTGCACCTATGGTTACAGAATATTCCTCTCTAAAAATACAGTAAAAACAAAAGCAAAAATATTTCACTTTAGAAACATTTTACAAAAAATAAGTACAATGTTGGCAGTCCTATTTTCAAAAACGTAAGCAAAATCTTTACAGAGGTGTGCCAGCACTTTTGTGTGTGCAAGTCAGGGAGCTAAGCTGCACACAGCTCTTTGGAGCCTTTTAACCAGTCGGGTCTGTGTGCATGTCCAGACTGCAGCTGTATGGTTGCTGTTGTAGATCCAGGAGTACTCTTGAAATGCAACCTCCCAGTATTGTCAGTAGGCTTCAGAGTAAACACTGTTTGAGCTGTAGGAGGATAATTCTTTGCCCTCGTTTTGAGGTGGACAGCTCTATTCTGGGAGGTGCCTTAGTTAAAAATTGCACAAGTGAATTTGTGCAAATACTATGAGCTTGTGTAGAAGCTGTCCAAACAAATAAGGGTTAGAACAGAAGACTCTTCAGTCTGCTGAAAACATGTTGTGGTGTTTTTTTTTTGTACTGCTGGGAAGATATGAGATGGAGGATATGGGACATGAATAAAGCATAAGAGTTGGCCTAATTGGTGAGGGTTTTGGAATGAAGGAAGGTTGAGATTATTTTTGGCTTGATTTCTGATCTGTAGGCATAAGCAGACGTGGTTTTGGACCTCTCTTGGAATGGTTCAAAGATGCACTGCTGTTCAGCTCTCAGTTATTTCTCCCCTAGTCACCTGAGAGCTGTAGTGAGCAGCATTGGTTCCCAAACCCTGCTCTAATGCAAACTGAGGCTGAAAATTATCTCTGATGGTTGTTATTTTGCTATCATCTTAAAATCTCTTTAAGGAAAATCCATTAAATTATTTGAATGTCTCTGCAAAGATAGTCCATTAGGTTTTTAATACACTTACCACAATTCTATCTAAATTATGGTATTTGTAGCTTAACAAAAATAAGTTGACTTCCACAAAGATGTTTGGCTTGTCATGCTTGTGTGTTGGGTAGTAACTGTAAAGCTAGTGCTGTGTAAGAACTCAGGCCAGATAATATGGCTGTAAACCTGGATCCAGATACTTAAGTGCATAGTGTTAAGATCAGTTTAGAAAAGATCCAATATGGCATTGCTGAGAGTTTTCCTGCTAAAGCATGAATAACAAAAAAAGAAATCTTCCTCATCCGGATCTTGCTACTTTCTCCATTGCTATCCATAGGTTTCTGCAAGTGAGACTGAAGACTTAATCTCAAGTTATTAAAATTTGCTTGTCAGTATGTCATATCTTCCCTGGACAAGCAGGTTCATTTTCTGATAAAGATAAAATTTGCTGGACGTCTCTCTCAGCATCATGAAGCATGTGTAGGCCTCGTCCTGTGAATGCTCTATAGAGTTTGGTCTTTACCCTGGGTCAGCTGCTGATTGGCCACTCTGTCCTTGTTATCTTGCCTCCTGCCCCAGAACCAGACAGGGAACAGGCTACCTGTTTGCCTAATTGCTTGTAATTGTGGTGGTGTTCTTACTGTTTCGTGATGGACTGATCACGGACTGGGTAGTTTCAGGAAAGCATGGATTGCACTTGTGCCAAGATCTGTTTCCTGAGGCCTGAGAAATCCATCACTCTCCCTTCATTGCATTTCCCAGCAATGCAAATGGGGTCCCCCAGCATGGAAGAATGTCAAAAATTGTGGTTAACTGCAGATACTGAATCATATGTTGTTCTGCACTATCATCCAAATAGGATACTACTTGGCTTCTACATAGAAAAATGTTAGTGCTGAGTAAAATGGGTGGTATGATTTCTAACTGAGCAATGAGAGCATATTCTCAATTTCTTTGCCAAGAAGTCTGTTTGTAGTAAGTTGGTTGAGCTCATCAACTGCAGCCCATCGTTACCATTTGTCACTATAACAGTGCTGTGCTCTAAGGCCAAGATAGATTTGCAAAAGATGAGCATCATCAACCTAAGCCATATTATTAAGTCATTTCTCTTCGTCCAGAGCCAGTTGAAATGCGACTAATTTGTTCCTGATGATGCAACAGAGAGTGTTAAACATCCCCCATGCTTCTGAGAAAGCTTATAGTTTATCTCTAGCTTTGCAGTGTTTGCTTTGGTTGGTTCAGGGAGAAACAGCTATGTGGATTAAACTGATGTGCAACAGTTCTTCATTGCAGAGTGGCCAGAGTGCAGAGTAGTAAAGCTTTAGATATTTGTTTGTTTGTTCCCTGAATTTGAAAGTTTTTTTGTTGTTAACTTCCTGTTCAATCTTTTTTGCTTTTACAGAAGATAAGATCTGGACTGCAGTGCAGCACAACAACACAGAGCTAACCCGAGTCCGTGGAGCTGGTCCAGAGAAACCATATACTATGTCCTTTAACTACAACAGCAGCATGGAGCAGCTTGAAGCCATGATAAGCAATGCAGAGTACTGCGAGCAGGAGGCAGCTTACCACTGCAAAAAGTCCCGTCTCCTCAACACTCCAAGTAAGTGCCACAGTCCCAAACTATGCTAAAGTAGCAGGACAAGACAGAGTAAAAAGGCTTTTACTTCCTTAGTCATTGCTGTGCTTTAATTGTCTCTTGACATGAGACGGAGCATGCTCTGTGGTGGAGTTTCCACTGTGCAAGTTCATACCTACAAAGTGTCTAAAAGCTTTTACAATGGAAAGTACCCTGTGAAAACCTCAAAAGCTTGATATAGCTGATGTTAGATGGAAGTTTTTATTCATCTGTGGTTCTTAACTGTTACTAAGAATAGAAAGCACACAGATGACTTCAGACCTTCATGACATTTCTGAACAGGAAGGGTGTAGCATCTTCTGAGTCTATGGTCATAGATATTGTGTTTAACTGCTTGGTAGTACAGGTGCTTGGCCAAAGCTAATTTTCTCCTCCTGATAGAAGGTGTATTTTTTTTTCCATGATATAATGTAATGGTAGTTTCTGTTGTGTTAAAAATAAACCTCCAGTGAAATGTACTCAAAACTTGATTGGTTTCAGCAAGATTACTCTAACACTGAATTTTTATGGATCTAGTAATAAGATGCCTTATAGACACTTTACTTTAAAAAATAATATTAAGACACATTTTAATTATTAAAAAATTAAAAATAGTCTTTTTTAATATCAGAAAGTACTACTTATAAAACATGTGTGGGTTATTTTATGTTAAAAGCAGAGCGTACTAGCCATGAACTGTTTGTATTTTTAATTGTTTTTTAAAGAAATAAACATTAGCATCAGTATATAGTGTAGACCCAAAGCAGAAAACAAAGCACACGATTAACCCCTCATAAAGAGGGGAAGTATTTCTTTTACTTTCATTGTTTGCTGGCTGCTGCAATTTTGTAAGTTATTTGGTCAAACACACATGTAAAGGTACATTATCAATGAGCATGAAGATACATGTAGTACCTGAATAAATCATGAGGCATTTGTTAAGGAGCCAGATCTTTTATATTAGCAATACTACTCCTAATAATAAGAATCTTTTCTGAATTGAGAATGTACTGTAAACCATGCAGGTTCAGGGCTAAAGCCACCTACCAAGTGGCAGACTTGCTAAGGAAGTGACCAAGGGGCAGTAGCTTCTCCAGCCTCTCAGGATCAAAGCAGTGATGCTGGTCCTTGGAAGGGCCTGTGACGCTTTGCAGCCCAGTTCCCTGTCCCACATGGCCGGGTACCCTCATCTTAACAGGTTACTACTCATCTTAACAGTTGGACAGACAAGAACTGCGTAATTCATAAATCTTTAATACTCCAGCTGGTAAATCAGAAAAAATTACAGCCCAGTGATGTGCATGTGACCGACACTGTCTTATTTTTTCCTTTCTCTCTGTTTGTCCCTTATATGTTTTGTTATGTTTTTTCAATTACTTTGAAATTGGTCATCCTGAACTCACTTGGTAGCCCTAAGGTTGTCAAGACATGGAACATACTCATTTCAGCTCTTAAAAGGTTTAGGGGGCAAGTTGTTCTTAGCTGAGTGATAAGCGTTTTTAAGTAACAGAAAGGCTTCACCACCTTCCCACCAAACTCTTATGTAAACTGTTTAAATGAGGTGAACTGCTTGTGCATTAAAAAAGATCGAGAGGAACAGTGGTGCTGAAGCCTACAAGCACGAATAACTCTAGCACATTTTGAAGGGCTCGCTGCAGAAGGCTGTCATCTATGTTGTGTACACACAGACGCAACTGGAGGGAGTGTGAATTTGGGGTCAGAGCAACAGACCAAGAATGAAGACTGATGGGTTTTGTTTCTTGATTGTCCTAGGCTTTTGAATGCCTAAAAGACTGCTTTCTGTGTTGGAAGGGTATCATAATGTTTAATTATGGTTATGAATGACTTCTGAGATCTTTGTTCACAAGTCAGCATAAAAATGCACATGTATTAGTTGATGACTAGGTTGCATTCATAAGTTAGCAGGAAATATTACATCACCTAGTCCATGCTGCCAGATATCACAATTCGTTGATATCTTTGGGCCGAGACAATGGTAGCATATACCAAACGATGGAAAAACATTTCTCAGAAACATTATCTGATCTTGCAGATCTATAAAAATTCTATTTCTTGCAAGAGATCTAATCCTGTTCAGAGCTTCCTCCAGTTTGAGGTTCTCTTCTTTTTTCTGAGGAGATGGAACATATGATTAAGAGATCTCAGCTGATATCACCAAATGGCTAAATCCTTGCCTTCAGGATCTAAACACTATCTTGTTTCACAGTGAAGCAATAAAGAGATTTTTCTTTCTCTGCCTTTTGCAACTTAGCTCTCCAGAAAAGCTGCATGCTGTTACATAGCAACATCTGCTTTTACAGCTCTGATTTGGCAGGGAATCGTGTGCCTAGGAACAGGGACAGCATAGCTCTCTAGTCTGTTACAGGGAGAAACCAAAGGAGGCCCCCGGCTTGGGTGGGGACAGGGGGAAGTTCCAGTGTATATCGAGGAATTTATCTTTCTACTCTTTCTACTCCCTCTTGCCCTTAATATGTAAGCCTGTCTCTGGTGGGTATGCTGCATAGTCTCTTCATTGAGTTGTATGGATTTACATGTGTAACGTGTCAGACATGCAATCTGGCAGTTGGCAAAGGAACTTACTCATCTCCACCTCCTGCTGCCTGGCACAGCCTTATCAGTTCTCACTGTCACGCTATGGCTTAACTGCAAATGTGTCTTTGAAAAGTAAAATTAAATTGACCTGAACTGCGTTTTTTTACGTACATCCTTGCCAGCACCTAGATTTCAAGGAGTTTGCAAACATCAGAATAGATGTCAAGCTGTTTTTTCATAAATCTATGCAAAAGAAACTTAAGATCAGTAATTGGATATCTGTTGTAATTTCCCCATCTCTATTGGAGAGATGCTCACGTAATGAGAGCAACTATGACATTGGCATTTATTAGCAAAGTCATCCATGCTTTCTAGCATGACTGAAGACTACTGCCTCCTCCTTTGAAGACTGAGGAACAGTTCATCTGATGAGGACAAGCAGGAGCTTGTAGGCGAATAGTAGGGTGAGAAGAAAACTTGGAACCTCTAAATGCACCTTCTGCATTTTGGGAAATTGAAATTGCATTCAGGTCTCGGGGAATCTAATTTCTGTTCTTTTTGGAACATCTCAGGTAATACACAGGAGAAGAATATGTGTACAAGGGTAAGTACATGTGTGCACATGTGCGTTTAATTACACTGTTAACAGACAAGATGTTTGAAGATATAAAAACGCATATTAACTGAACAAGACTTCAGCCCTGGCTGAATTTGCTCAGGTTTCCAGTAGCAATAGCTTCACAGTGGCATGCTCATTGAGGACTTAACACAGTGACAGCCGTATCAGCAGGATAGCTTGCTTTACATTCCTCAGCTGACAGTCTGTCAAGCTCACAGTACATTCATGTAGGCAGGGACTGAGAAAAGAGCAGTCCAAGAGCAAAATCAAAGAAATAAGAATCCCTGTTTTTATTTTCCTTTGTTATTCCTTATGTTTTTCATTTTCCAGTAGAATTCCTGCACCATGTCACTTTGAGTTTTGATTTCAAATGCCCGTGCTAAACTACACACCTCTTCCCTGAACTTCTTCCATGTCCCCTTGAGGACCTGTGTACCGTAGGACTTGCATACGGGGACCTCCACCTCCTCTTCCTCTCCGACCCTTTCTCAGTGCAGAGCTGAGCTGTGCTCTTTCTCCAGCCTGGAGACTCCAGACACAGGGATTTGACCTTGCCAGTGACTCACTACATGGGTGTTTTGCACCTCCATTACCAGGCTGGAGGAGATGATGTTGTGCTACCTGGCAGTATGTTGCCTGATTTTTCTGAATTTAGGCTGCAGTTTAGGCTTAATTCTTGCTTAAGACAGTTTCTTCATGACAATTCAGTGACATTTTATCTTTGAACTGCTTTTTTCAAGCACCATTTTAGATAATCTGTGCTATTTTTAAAGACTTTTTAATGGAGTTCACTGTAATAATGTAACATAGAGATTTGTCAGTCAGATGGAAGTGGAGTGGATACATGTATTCCCCGGTCTGTGTAAAATTTCTTCTCCACTCTCTGAAAGCAATGTGGCTTGTTGAAGGCATACTTAGAGTCACTGTGAGCTGTTGTTGGCAGTGTGGTAAGGAAATCAATGCTGTGCACTGGCACTGGAAGACGTATGTTTGCTTAACCTCTGTAATCCCTTACGTTGGGACTTTTCTTCCCGAAGAACCTCTGAAGTGGAATAAAGTTGGTGGTACCTTTCACTCAACCTGTGAAATCAACTAAAGTCCTTATAGCACAGTAATGAAGAAATGTTTTATTCGGGGAATTATGCTGTCAAAATAAGAGCTTGGAATTGGGCAGTTGTATGAAATGCCCAAGTATGCCAGAACCAAATATGTCCTAATGACACCTCAGACCTGAGAGATCCAGTCCTATAACTATTCATACACAAAATGAGAAGGAAACCAATACTTGTTTTTTAGTGTATCCCAGCTAACATTCCCTAATCATGAGTAGTTTTTTTTTATTATTATTATTTTTAATTTGCAGTGCTCAGCATACTGCTGGCAATGAATAAATAATTGCATTTAGAAACAAGCAGCTGATTCATTGCTCCTTATAGTAATGGCCATTAGTTATGACAGTGACCTGTCCACCATTTGAGAGAGCAGTACTGTTGCCTGAGCAAAAAATTGTGCCTTCTCTCTCATTAGAGCCTCAGCGGGGAGTGTGTTCTCATCATGCTCCCATTTGTCTGCTTCATTCAGCTGTCCTACTTTGAAGTTCATGGGCTCCATTAGAGCCCTACTGTCTTACATTAAACCAATTTTTTCTTCAAATTTGGCCCGGTGTGTGAAGTGACATTTTCCCATTCTGGAGTATGGAAGATATAGATCACAGCAGCACAAGTGATCTTAGCTGTCCTCATCTACTGTGATGCTGTGTGTGGTAATGGTAATTTGCATTTCTATCTACACTTTCTTTGAGTATGGGAAAGCATTTAGGGTTGTCATCTCAGTGTTGTGCAGGTGTTCAGTTTCCAGGAGTCCAGGAATTTTACCCCAGATGTGAAGATGGTCTATCAGAAATTTATTTTCCCTTTTTGAAAGTTTGAAGGCAGGGACGGGGGAAATAAAGCAATGAGGATCCATCTGTAGGCTATATTTTCAAACAGCATTGGAAAAAAACCTTCCCTATGTTTTTTACTTCAGTGTTTTACATATGTGAACCATCTAACACAAAGGGGATCATAAACATGAGTCTTCTGAATGCCTCTTTCTTTTGTGAAACAGGCTTGTGAGTAATCAAATATGCTTGGAGAAAATATCTCTAGATATTTAAGGGGAAAAAATTCTTTGTCTACTCCCTCTGTCCCCCCACCCAGAAGCATCTAAAATCACCAGAGAAATTTCTCTCCATGACCCCAAGTGATCAGGGGACTGAACTGAAACTTTACAAGTAGCTAAAAAGTTGTGGTGACCTGAATGAAAACCAGCCTTTTAAACCTTCTCCTTGGAGAGGCTTTTCTAGCATCTGTTAGGCTAGGAAGACAGAGCAGAAAGGAAAAAGCTTCTGAGCTTGAACTTGCTCCAAACCCCCTGGCAAGAGGGATCCAAGTTAATGGGACAGGAGTAGCTTGAGCTGTCCCGGTCTCAAAGCAGTATCCTGAGCTGCCTTTCTGTGCCACCAGGAGCAGAACTCGGAAGTCCTGGGAGTAAACTGGGAGGTCTGGGACTTTTCCCTTATTCCCTCAGATCTGTTCTCTTTCCTTCCTGCTTCCTGCTTACTCCTTTCCTTCAAAGTTTAGCCAGTTAATCTGGCAGTGCTCTAAAGGACTCCTCCTTTTAACAAAGAGAGAAATGGGGCTGTTGTTACTGATTTCATAAAAATCCAGTGTACTTCAGAGTTACGTTCATTTTGGCCTTTTTTTTTCTTCCTTTTTTAACTTGTTCATGGCCCTGTGTGTCCTGGATGTAGATGTTTTGAGAGAAGATATGTTCCTCTGAGAATATGTACAGTGCATTCAGAAATACCTCAGCCATGTTGGCTTGGATCTAGGAGTAAGCCTGAACGTAGCCTGATGCAGCAGCCTGGGCTTCTCTGTGTTCTGGCATGGGGGGAGTTTTCCCAGGGTCCCCATAGATGTTCATTCAGTGCTGGAACTAATCCCACCATTGGCGATATTGCTGCTTTTAGCCCTGCTAGCTACAGACCATCACTACTACTTCCCCTGTTGTCCTTTATAAAGGGCAAGGAGGATGTCCATGAAATTATGAAAGAGTACCCGTATTTTTGGAGAGGACCCCTTTTATAGTTGGTAGGGTCAGGCCTACAGTTGTAGAGTAGGAATAATCTAGATATGTCCAGGTTCTTCCAAGCAGAGAGATAAGCAGCTGAAGGCAATACTTCCAATTCACTTTAGATACCCAATTCTGTTGGAACTGATCAAACATTCTCATACTTCTACCTTGTGAGCTGCATCCTGTCTAGCCAAGCAGCCAAGCTGTTTATTCTGTGCTACTTTCTTTTTTGATGGTTTAGAACATGGCTTCTTGGCTTATTTTTACTAAAGCATCATTCAGTGACGAATAAATTCAGCTCTTTTTTCCCCCAATTGTTTTGTGCTTCAGAGATGAGCTCCTATGCAGATTCTCTGGTACCTGGTAATGACTGAATGTGCACTGCAAACCTTTCATCCTCTTGGGTCCTGCTTTGGAGCTTTTCTACTGTGGAGGTTACTTTCAGGATCAAATTTCTGTCAAATGTACTTGAAATTGTGCTGTGGTCATAGGATACTCTGAAAGAATGAACACAAGCATGCTGGAACATGCATGCATCATGGTACCCTATATCTGTTTCTGTAGATAACCAGGTTGAGATTCATATCTGAAGCCCACTAGAGTTAGATTAGAGTTGACGTATTGGCCTGTTTGTTTCCCAAGATCCTAATCCTAGGAGGAAATCTTAATTTGGGCTAAAACAAGATGCAGATGTACACATTTTCTCACTGTATCAGATATATAAATGTCTATCTCCTCAACATGGAAACAAAAATATTAACTAAATTTTAATACTAAATTTAACTCTGTCAGTACCAGTCAGGCTTTGATAGGTCTGTGCATGCTTCCTAGTACTGTAGGTGTGCTAGACTTTTTTAAAAATTGTTTCTTGATTTATATGCTGCCTGTTTCTTTATCCAGAATCCTTATTCCATGTTCTCCTTTCTCCATCTTTGGTTTGCCTAAAAAGTTTAAAATGGCATGTCTAATTTACAGCATCTAGTGATTCCAGCATATTAACATTAGTAGTGCATGAAAAGTGCTCCCAGTATCTTAGTCTGCAAACAGCAGCCATTTTCATTTCTTCTTTTTGCCCAGGTTGTGTCATTTAATGAAACCAAAATATTGGCAGTGGCACTTGTTGATAGAAAAGGGAAGACGATAATGGTTCCTGGCTGTGCTTTTTCTCAGTTTTCTACTACTGAGCCTAATTCAGGCCTGACAGGCTTGTTTTACTGATGAATTCAAACCAATGATTAGACGTTTTCAAAAATGGAGAGAGATCTGAGAAGTAGTTCTGAAGAAAACGTAACCACCGCTTACATGGTAGGGTTGTCTTAAACAGAAACTTCTAGCTGCAGGTTCAAATGGCCAGGATGATCCATAAAATGATCTATTGATATGGGTACAGCATAAAGTTGTCTTAAGAAAACAAGTGTCTTTGGGTGTGCAGAAATAGGCTACAAAAAAGTGAAGGTTAACTGACAGCTTGTGTTAGATGGGTGGTTCTTGATCTTCGCACAGGACATGGGCTTCTTTCCGTTGCTCTTGTCTTCACTGAGTTAGAGGCTTTATGTACTCTAGCTTTTCTTACCTGCCATCGCCTCAGTGCCTTCAAGCAGAATTGCTCTCTTTTTTTCCAGATGAAACTATTTAGGTGACCCGAAGGAGTTTAAAGACTGTTCCCCATAGAGCCATCCTCATCGTTGAATGCTAAGGTTACAGCAATGGTTGGATCCTTGGGCAAGTTGTCTCCTCCTGCAGTAGTATCTCCTGTTTCAATTGCCTTTGGCTTCCTTGCTGGTTATGAAAAGTTAGTTTAGGCAGTCTGTTTTGCCGTTGTAGGTAGATGAACTGAGGAGAGTCCTCCAAGCACTGAGCATTTTTAAGGGGCCTATTTCCAAGTCTTATTTCCAAGAGCTGATATATCCAAGCCTGTGTCTGCTTTCTAGGTCCCTTCCTTCCCAGTGGACACTTACATTCTAGATTCAGGCAGAGCTAATCAGTGTTGCGTTTTGTTTACTGTCTCTGGGAAACAGGCGAGGGACCCCAGTCAATGTGCAGAACACTAGAAGTACCTGCTTAATAGAAGCAGAATTTTATTGAGTGGGTATTTCCATCCTATTGCTGCTGGAGTAATCACCTTATCTGCAAGCAATGCTTCCAGAGGGAGGAATGTTCCTTCCGAAATACCACCCTGGGCAATTCATTTTACTTCTATACAAAGCTTCAGAATCTGCCTGACCATATTGTACTACAGGTTGTCATGTTTTCAAAGGATGAAATTTATGTTCCATGAAATATGCCATTGCTAAAATTAATAGGTAAATGAACAAAGTGAAACAGGCCATTAGACCCATTACAATATTGTAGTCATTGAGTTGTGGCACAAAAGCAAAAGCTAATGGGTAAACATAACCATAATACAGCGATAGGAGCTATCAATATGTAGTACACAACTGTGGTTATACAGAGGAAGGCAGTTGACCATATGAAATATGATTTAGCAGACAGCCCAATTGCAGGTAATCTTTCTTAAAACAGTGCTTCCTTGGCTAGTATATTTTAGTTGAAGGAAAATGATAAATTACAGCTATTTTTTTCCTATCCTACTGGAATTTAATTTCAACTTCACTTTGATAATTTTCATAATCTTTTTTTATGTTACGCTGGACAGTAACACTGAGATTTTTTGTGTTTGCAAAAATGTTCCTGAGACATGAACAAATTGTTCTTGAATATTCCTGCAAATAGGAATTTAGCCAAAGGTCTTCAGTGTAAATATTTACCACCTTGAAATCTTTTTTGATGCCCTTGTTTTTATTTCTGTTCTAAAACAGTGTTTCATAATTTTAAGTGAATACACAATACCTAATCAAGATAAACACTTCATAGGCTGGACTGTGTTTGTGTAACATGATTAAATAAGCTCTGAGAATAGCTAACATAATCATAACATTCTGCTAATGGGCAGTTCAAGAGAAGCTAAGCTACAATATTGGATGATTCAACTGAAAAAAGTAAAAAGCTCGAAGATATGCAGGATCAACTCCATTGGATTCAGTATCCTTATTTATGCCAACAGAATTGTGAACTATCTCTCTAAATAGTGCATCTTTTGTGAAATTCCTCTTTAGCATAAAACAAATGACAGACTGTAGAAACCTTGTAAAAACACTCCTATGTAAAGGAAAATGATGAGTAAGTTAGTCCAAAGCTTTGTAATGCAGTATCACCAATTGGAGGTTAAACGTTTCAGCACTGATGGATTGAAAAGCCAATGCTGTGTTTCTGCAATGGAACAGACAGGAATATCCTGCACAATTTCAGTAGAGGAGATGCAGAATCATCTTTAGCCCTGGTGGCTGAAGTGGTGCAATATAAATTAGAATCTCATCTCTGGCCATCTCTTGTAGACAAAAAAAGAGAGAGAGAGGAAAAAAAGATTGATGCAGGAGTATCTTCAAATCACTGTGGCACTCACGAGTTTACCCATGCAGGGGAACTTTGGCAGTGACTAAAATAAATTCAGAGACGCTGTATTCTGCTAAAGTGATTCCAAGTAGCAGAAGCACAGGAGAGAGTTGGGTGATCAACTGTTCAACATTTTCTCTCAGTAGGTTTTCAGTCCATGCCCGTGTGAAAAAATCAAGTTACTATGGTCTTTGCTGAGCAACATCTTTTGAAGGAATATGTGATAGGATATTGAATCTTAGCAGTCGATTTTGGGTTCAGTGAGGAGGCAAATAGCTAGCTTGGGCAGCAGCCAGCATTACTAATTGCACCCTGGATGGCAGGGCAGCCAGGGGTTTCTCAGCACAGCAAAATAAAGTCATGTAGCTGAGCTGGTTCAGATCCTAGAATCAACGTAGGTGTTTTAGCATAATTTTTACCAGCACATACTTGCTGTCTCTGAACAATACATGAATTTGCATACCTATTCTTACTGAGTACATTACTTGGACCTGAGTTTTGACATGACACAGGATTTTACTACTGAGAAATACTTTTATTGTTTTCACCCATAAAAAAGGTTGCAACTTTGCTTGCAAAAAGGTAGCTCTTGTAATTCCAGTCTTCTAAATTCTGCTTCCCATTAATCAAGAAAATGCCATCTTACTGTTGTTTCATGCTACTTAATGCAAGACATTGCTATAGTGAGTGTAACCTATGGCAAAACAGTGAAAACTTGAATGTGCTGAATGTTGAATTAGGTGACTAGTTGAGTGATAATATATTGCCTAACCTAATGAAAAGACATTACTTTTAAATAATGGACCACATCATAGATTTAATTATCTCAAGGCAAGGTAGTAGGTGCTTCATGCAGACAAGGTCAATTACTTTATCTAGAAGAGCCTGTTTGAAGTGTATTATGAATAATTCACAGACATAGAAATTAGGTTTGAAAAAGTGTCCCAGCTATAATGTGGAAAAAGCATTCAGTTTCTTTCTTAATGTATTTAAGATAACACCCAAAGGACAATTATGTCTGCTTAACTGTAAAACTAGTTAAATGACAAGAAATGACAATTGCATGGTCACATCTACATTAGCACATTATGCAAAAGAAAGTATAATCATTGTGGCCTGTTCTTATCAGGCCTCAATAAACTGATTTCAAACCACATCTTGGTAGTTTTTGCACCTGAATGTTGAATGAAATTTAATCAAAGATTGGTTCATTTTATTAGACTCTCTCAATAGAGATAAAAAAGGATTCTTTCTGTATTAGCGCCGTTTATCTTGTTTGGTCAGAGCTTTTAGTTCTTTGTTTCTTTTGGTGTGTAGACTAAGGTACAGCGATGTTGAGTAATGGGAATCTATTTGGACAGTCTGTGATCAAACAAAAGGAACCAGAACATCTGCCTTTGCATCCTGTGCCTTACTCAGGCCAGTCTTCTACTACAAGCACTAAATCATGCTGTTTCAAAGACAGTATTGTTCTAGTCTAGGCCCAGCATTAAAGCTAGAATAATGACTCTAGCTATGGTAACAGAATACGTACTCACTTGACATATGGTGACCTTAGGTGTGAATTAGAAACGCAATAAACCTCAAAGTCTGGGGAATAACATGCTCTCTCAGCATATTTTGATTCCACAGGCAAAACAATAACCTTAGCTTTTGCTCTTTGACTTTGCAATAAGCGGTAACGGCCAAGGGAAATCCCTTGGGGGCTGCAGTTTTCTAAGATGCTTGGCAAGGAGATGGCTAATTCATCAGGTACCTCAGTTTAAGTGTCTAAATGTAATAGTGACATTTCATGGCCTTTGAGTTTACCTGCTTTATTTGCTCGAAAGGGAAAGTTCAGCAGAATTTTAGAGGGTGCTATAGAATGGAGTATCTAATGAGGCATACAGGCGGCCTAATCCTGTTTCCATTCAAGTCAATGGCAAGACTC